CAATTCAATTCTGATTTTTTCTACTAAACCACAATCAGGTGGAAAGGATGTTTTTTTATGCCTTCCACATCTTTCACACTGTCTTGAATTTTGCGAGCAAATTTTCTGTTTTATTTGTATTTTTACTATTGTACACTGAAGAAGGCCTGATGGCAGGTCGAAACGTTTGATGTAAACAATTTAATAAATATATCTTAACCTTCGCACGACTAACCAGTATTATGGCTCTTTACGCTCCTATTGATTTTAATTGATTTTAATAATCTGCTGAGCCTTATATATTATTTAATTATAATAAATATGCTTTTACATTAGGTTTTTGCATCATAGATAATAAATTTTCTCCAGACTTTGTCCTTTCACTCATTATCTCTTAAAAAATGCTCGACAGTTTCCTAATACTCTAGAAGTCTTTCAATACATGAGAAAGTCGTTTGCCGAGAAAGCCATCGTGTGTCGGACAACTTTAGAATTTTTCGGTTTGCTTCCAGAAAACATTCACAAAATTCTTCAAAAATAGCAGATTGTTTTGGACTACTATTAATATAATTTGCTATCTTTTTTACGAATTCCTCGCAATAGTCTGGGATCTTACCATATGCAGTATGTGCAACAAGTGCAACAAAATGGCATGGGTATGAAAATGTTAACAAATTTTTACATTTTTCTTCAAGTTTTGTTTTAAATGATGAATATTTGTTCGTTATGACAGGCGCATTGTCGCATGACAAGGCAACGATATTTAAAAATGGAATTTGCAGTCTATATATTTCTCGTTTAAGAGCATCAAATAATTTATCCGCACTGCTATTTCTTGCATCAATATCTATTAATTTGACTAATTGCGAGCGAATATCTAATGTTGCAGGATCAACATACCGAACCTGAAACGTCATCCATTTTTTATTAGAAATGTCGGACGTTTCATCAGTAAAAATAGTAACTTTAATATTTTGAATAATATTGATTACACGATTCGTTTCAACCGACACAACACGTTCAAAATAAACTTTTGACATTTAGTCCGACTCATCTTCATATTTTGCAATACGTCAGAATCTTTTCCTATTTGTTGGAAAAAAGTGAGAATATCTGTCGCAGTTTGATGCAAAATGTTTTTCTCAGCGATGAAAGTAGCGTATCGAATTTCTGCAGCTTTCTTTCGCTTATCGAACGACAAAATTGATTCGTCCGTCATATTGACATCTTTGTCTGTTTTCTTGGTTTCAATATTAACATTCTTAGCAATTGTTATATGTGTTATGGATTGTGCATGACGAGAAATACATGGCACTTTAGCAGTTAGATATATTTCACAAAAGGAACAAAAACATAATTTTTTATCGTGTGATATTTGGCGTAACCATGGTAAATGTACTCTATTTCTAACCATTATTGTTGAAATCTTGTAACAGTACGCGCTGTTACTAAGCGCCAATCAGGCTCCGCGTAAATACCCCCCATTGCGGGCCACATTCCGATTCCGCAACTCGAGGGTAGTAGCTCGAGAAGGGGAGCTGCCGGGCAGAGTAGCATCTCAAGTGGGGGTAGCGCGACCGGTATAAAAACCGGCTCACGGAGCAGACCAGCACCATTTCCCCGAGTACGACTCGGACAAGCCTCAGGGCGTACTCTGAAGCTCCAGTCGTACTTGCTTCCGTTCTGACAGTCGGGAAAGTAGCAGGACGTTCTCTGCTCCGGCCGGGTGTTTCCAGTAACCGACTTTCTGTCACTTCCTATTGGTTTTGAAGTGAGGCGTTCCTCATTTCGGTTGGGTGTTCCCGGTAACCGGCTTCCTGTATCCCGTCGATCTGTAAGTCAGGCGTTCCTCACTCCGGTCGGGTGTTTCCAGCGATTGACTTCCAGACTTTCGTCGGTTTTGAAGTGAGGCGTACCTCATTCCGGTCGGGTGTTCTCGGCGATCGACTTTCAGACTTCCGTCGGTTTTGAAGTGAAGCGTACCTTGCAACCGGTAGGCGGATGCAGCCAGAATGAGCCATCCGGAAAACAGAATTAAGTCGTAGAAAGAAGTTCGACATCCTGCCGTACATAAACAGGGGCAGCTGAGCAGAGACCAAGGCCCAGACCAGCTGCGTCACAATATATAGTCATAAATTAGAAGTACTATACTTTAGATTTACATGTAAATAAACAAATACATTGTAGATATAACCTCCCATTAGAATAAGTTAGGTCTTAGGAATAGCCTTGGCGACGGTGTGCCACCTTGGCGACGGTGCCAAGGCTCCCCTGAGTCAATGATCTCCCTTTCCGGATCGGGACTATGTCCCGGGATGGATTGGGATGAGACCACGTCGATGATCTCCTTTTCCGGATCGGGACTTCGGTCTCAGGATGGATTGGGGTAAGGCAACAGGGGTCCAAGAGCACACCTTAGGAGAAGGAATAACTCCGAAGATAAAACCGGGGCAGGACGAACTCGTCAGTTCTGGTCGACAACCGTCCTAGTGGAAGGAAAACCACAATAAAAAACCCGGAGAAGACAACTCTGTTAACAAATTACAGTGATGAAAAATAATGACGACAGAAAGGACAACGTTACCGCCTCAGGGGCCTCGGAACCCGAGAGGCCGGCGAGGGGGGTATCCGGTCCCGGTACCCCCCCTGTCGTCATCGTGCGACGGGCCATCCAGGACGTGCCACGCGGGCGCCCTGGACGAAAGTGCTACCGCGGATGGTGATCTGTGGGCTGAGGCCCACAGAATTTTGTGGATTCTCCTCGTCCTCCTGGAGGAAGTTCGCGGAGGACGCGCGCAAGCGCCAACGGGAGGATGTGCGCAACCGCACAGCAGAAGGGGCAAAGGCCCCTTACCCTCTAAAACGGAGAAGGGGCCTGCGCCGGGTACACGTGATGCCTGCACGCAGACCCGGAAAAATGAGGGGCAGCTGCCCACTCAAAAAAGGGAAAAGGAGGGGAAGGGTGATTCCACCCTCCCCCCTCGATGTTTTAAGTGCCTTCAAAGGGGGCACGAGAGATGGCGGTACCTAGTGATGGGCGATACAGGTCAGCAGTATCGATATTTCGTATCGATACGTATCGGGGAGTCTAATTTTGATACTCGTAAATATCGTCGGCAGAAATATCGATACTATCAATATCGATACATAAATATTGTATTTTTATTTTGAATTTTACAATAATTAGTAAATTACTGACACATAACTTTTTATAGTTTATAGTTTATTACAAAATTGTACATTGCAAAATAATAACACTTTACGTTTATTGTCAAAAAATTATATATGGTCAAGGAATCGAATTAAAGGTGAACATTTTACAGTTTTATTTTATCGACTTGCTTACAAAATATATTAAATTATTACATAAACCAATCATTGAAATCTAACGAACTTAAAAATAATAAAACTTGTAAATGTTCACCTTTAATTCGATTTCTTGACTCGCTCATAATTCGACCTGCTTTAGAAAATAAACGCTCAGAAGGTACTGAAGTTGCTATTACTGTCAAGTAACGCCTTGCTAGCTGTGACAATAGAGAATCTGCATAATTGTTCCAATAATTTATTGGACATTCAGTTTTCTTAATTACATTCTGATGCAGATAATATTTCAAATCTTCAGCCATTTGGTTGCTGTCTAGATCTACGCTTTTTGCATTATTTAAATCGCTTACTATTTGCTCGTGATAAGCCCAAAAATCAGTTTTTTCATTGACTGAACACGAGGGAGTTTCGAGTTCGACACGTTCAAGTTCCCGGTTTTTAAATGTTGCTTTATTTATCGCAAATGATATTTTATTTATTGCATGAGAGCAAGCAATTTTATTTTCAAAATGTATCTTTTTAAATCGCGGATCTAAAATAGTAGAAATTGCTGCAAGTGTTACCTCTTCGACATCTTTAAATCGTTTTAGAAACTCTTCCAACAATTTCTTTTTCATATGATAACCTACATCGGTGGAAGGTAAAGATAATTGTAATTTAGATTTAATCATTTTAACTAATGGGATAACCTTACTGGCCGTAACATAGTTTTCGCCACAAATCATTGTTGTAGCGCTTTTGAATGGCTCTAATATTTGAATGAATTCTTTATTGTTTGCAATTCAAACGCGTTTAACATCGTAGGCGCTTTTGGATTTTTTAATAGTATTAGGCTAATTACATTCGACAATTCAACAAATCGTACAAGCATGTCGTATGTGGAATTCCAACGCGTATCAACACTTTGAATAAGTTTCAAATCAGATTGAACACGCAATTGATCCATAGCAGTGACAGACTTTTTAAAATATGCTACTATAGCTTTAACTTTTTTGCAAAGATCGCTAACAATTTCGTCCTTTTCTATTACTCGCGAAGGTACTAAATTTAGGGTATGGGCAAAGCAGGGAAAATGCTTGTCTGTACCAAACCCATCAGTAATGGCCTTTTTGATATTAGCCCCATTGTCGGAAGTTATTGCCACAACACTTTCCAATCGAATATTCCATTCAGAAATAATATCGAGAAGCCATTGTTGTAAATTTTCGGCAGTATGTCGTTCTGCCAATTCTGTCACGCCAATTGTTACAGACTCATATTTATTATTTAACAAAAAGTGACTTGTTACGCCCAAAAAACTTTTGGCATTTAAAGAATCGGTCCAAACGTCCGTAGTGAGACATACGTTTTTAGTCAATTGCAATTTTTTTTTAACTATGCTTGACAAGCATTTGTATTTTTCTATTAATAAGTAAGTAACAGTTTTGCGCGACGGAATTTTGTACAATGGCATAAAAGTGCTTACAAACGTTCGGAATCCTTCTTTTTCCACTGTGCACATCGGTAAGTTGTCTTTCGCAATCATATACAGCAGCTTGTTAGTCACTTCAGTTGATTTTGATCCGCCATCTGAAATTATATACACACATTCTTTTTATTTACACTTATTATTTATTTATTACTTATTTATATCTTTAAAAGCAAATAAGAATTAATGTTTAAACTGTAAATTTGTTATATTTGTAATTACTAAGATAAAATAGAAAGAAATCGATTTACCTTGAAAGGATTTCTGCTTAGCAAAAGCATCATCAAGCCGCGGTTGCTTCTGCTTCAAAGTAATGCATTCAAAATGCGATGCTAAAGCTGAAGTAATTGAACTTGTGGACGCAATTGATGGTGATGGAGATAGTGTGGAAGAGATTTCTTCAAGGAATATCCACATCCTCTTCATCATTCTCATTATGCTGTGGTTATAAATAAAGCAATTATGTTTAATAATTAAAAAAATAATAATGTAATAATTATATTATTCAAAATTATAAATTATAATATAAAGGCTCTCTACTAAATATAAGAATAATATAAATCAGAAGCATAAGAACCGAAGCTAGGTGTTAGTGCCGATTTTATTACTTATAAAGTTATAAATTTAATTTACAAAACGTTTCGGCCATTTATTTGGCAATCTTCCTTCAGTTGACTTTGTGATAGATATTACTTTACAATGTGTTTTATGTATGTGTACATTATAGTTTTCAACATTGAAATGTCTACAGTAATAACACGTTAGTTCTATTGTATATCTCTGTTGGATATGCTCTCATTGTGTGTTGGTTTTTCAATTATGATCAATGTATCTTGACAATCGTTGTTAATGATTGTTTTATTTATATAGGATTAATATTTGAAGTTGTTAATATCAGAAAAAATTAACAACTTACAATACAAATGCTTGTCAAGCATAGTTAAAAAAAAATTGCAATTGACTAAAAACGTATGTCTCACTACGGACGTTTGGACCGATTCTTTAAATGCCAAAAGTTTTTTATTAATATATATATTATTAATATAAATATAACATATATATTATTATTTTTACATTTACGGAAATTACATTACCATTTTTCTTTGTTGGCTCGCTGAATCTACGCCTGGAATTATATTTGCTTTGTTTGAATGGTTGCGAGTAAGATGAAAACGTAGATTTGTCGTATTTCCAGATGTTTTAATATCTTGAAGGCACAATTTACATCTTCCTCCGTTCGGTAATTTTATAAAAGATTTCCAAATATCACTTTTTGGCCCCACTAAAATATATATTACATTTAAAATAATTGCAACTGTTTCTTAAATATACATATTCTCCAGGAAAAACAAATATAAATTAAATACAAGTTAAACAAATTTCAAAACAAAAAATTAAGGGAAATATTTATGCATACTGTTTAGGATAAGGATCAAATGACGAAAGAACAGATGCGACAGATAATCAGGTAAGACAGCTAGCTTCTTAGGTTGATAGGATAAATGCTTCTTAGTTTTAGATATTTTATAATTATGAAACTGTATCGATGACCACTGAAAAATTTATAATTAATTTACATATTAAAAATCAGTAATAAAATGTATGACAATATTCGCAAACAAGCTAATGTAATCTAAAGAATATAAGTAAATACTTATATATTCGTGTAAATTAGCAAATATTTTTACCTGCACAATCGCAGATCACAACTCACCTTTCGCGGTGCGTGCGGTAATCGACGTACGTCGCACACGTGACGATAACTTAGCGCGACAAAGAACGGGAAATAATAAAATAAATACGACTTCAAAACTGGAACTGGATGCGTACGTCTCGTCATTCTCGCAAAACACGCACGATACGAGATACAACGATGCGCATGATCTAGCATGATCGGCATATGTCATATTAAGCTGCATTCAGAAATTTACCTCGGGTGTACTAAAGTGTCATTCTATCTTTGTTTAACTTTCCGTGAGTAACAAATAACAAAGATAGAATAACACTCTATCACTCTAGTACACCCGAGATGGATTTCTGAACGCAGCCTTAGGCTCCTGCAGACAGGACGCGTCAACGCGTTACGCGTAGCGGAAGACGATGCGTTAGCCTATCAGATTTCTACTTTTTTGTATCATTTTCGAAAAAGTAGAAATTTGATTGGTTAACGCATCGTCTTCCGCTACGCGTAACGCGTTGACGCGTCCTGTTTGCAGAAGCCCTTATGCGCAATGCGCATGAAACGGAACGCTGTCTAGGACCGCTGACTGAATATGGAATGCAATTGCTATTATAGTCCCCAAGAAAACAGTATCGAAAATCGATATAGGCAGGTTAAGTATCGATATAAAGAAATATCGTTGCATGAAGTATCGATACAAAATATCGATATTTATTATAAAAAATATCGATACTGCTAGTATCGATACTGTATCGCCCATCACTAGCGGTACCCCACAACGGTGGACCGCAGCAATTGCTGCTTCCACTGTGGGGGTACTGACCACCAAGCTCGGGCATGCTCGCAGAGGAGGGCGAGCTGCCCGGCTTGTAAAGAGGTGGGCAAAAACGCGGCACACCGAATTGGTGGCCGCGTCTGCCCAGTCATCCCTCCAAAAGGGAGACAGAGGAGGAGAAAGAGGAAGGGGAAAGGGAGAGGGCCAGCTCCCCCCTCAGAACTCCTCCCAGCGGGAAGGGAGAAGGGAAAGAGTATTCCCTCTATCCTGTCCACTCCAGCAATGGAGATGGATAAGGTGGGCGCACCGGGGAAAGGGGGAAGAAATAAGGGGGAAGTTCTCACTCCATCCCTCTAATAACCCTCTCTCTCGACCCCTGTGCTATGGAGGTGGAGGACGAAGAGGGAATATCTCCAAGTCCAACATCGGCCAAGGAGAGAAGGGGTTTACTATCTCCCTTTGTAATGGAGGGAAAGGTTGGAAAGGAGAGGGCCACCAAAAGCCTTTCTCTCATCCCCACTCAGGAGAGAAAGAGGGAGAAGAGGGAGGGATCGAAAGATCCTCCTTTATCTTCCCTCAAGAAACCCGGGGAGGGGAGCTCTAAGCCCTCGCAAACCCGAGCAACGGAATTGAGGAAAGGGGGGGTGGAAATGATCTCCATCAAAAAGACGGGGATATCTCCTCCCCCCTCCCCCAAAAAGGGAAAGGAGGATAGGGGCACCAGCCCTCTCCGGGCCCCCCAGAGGGAGGAGGAGGGGCGAAAAGGCATGGTGCAGAAGAATGGAAGAGGGAAAGAGGGAAAGACGAGAGGGAAGACAAGTGTTCCCTTCTCGTCATCAAGGGAGGAACAACCGGAAAGGGGGTACCAAACAACACTGTTATCTCCTCTCCTGTCGAGGAAGTCTCTTCGCCAGGGGATATACAGGAGGGGAATAATCCCCCCTCTAAAGTTATCCTTCAGTGGAGGAACATAGGTCCGGCCTGGAAAAGCGAAGAGACCTGGCTCCCACCGGACTGGCAGGAGTTGACCAGGAGGATAAAACGGGGATGGAAAAACTCCGGATTTGACACCCGGCTCATAAATTTCAAGAGGGTACGTTACTCGGGTCCGAAGGAAACGAGAACGAAAATGGACGTTGAATACTCTGGTCACGAATCTTTGTTTGCAACCGAGGTATTAAAGCAGATAGCTGGGGAGGAGGCTCGGGTGTTCCCACATTGAAAACTCACTTCGGAAATACGGCTGGCCAGGCAGCCTCCGATCCCGAGACCGCCTCCAAAACCGGCAAAACCTCCCCCACCACTGGAGGAGGCATGCAGAATCATCCTGGATGGTCTGGGGGAGGATATGGACGAGATTCACTTGTCCTGCCCTCCCTCATCAAGGGCCAAACAAGAGGAAAGTAAGAGGAGGAGGGCTGAGGGGAAACAGGAGGAGTTTCCTCCTCTCCTTACGCCCCCAAGCCCACCAAAAACTGGGAGGCTAAGAAGCTCTCCCCCCCCGTCGGTGGGACGTGGATCAGATATGTCCACTTCCAATACAGCCACTGGGAGGGGATACAGGGAGGGTCTGGGCCGGGGTGTCAGACGGAGTTTTGTCGGCCCCACCCTCGGTCTAGATGGGGGGTTGATGCATGGACGGGGGTCTATGCATCAATCCCGCCCCCCAATACCATCGAGAGGGCGTGGGGGAGCAGAGGTGACCCTGCTTCCACATCAATGATTAAGGCCCAGTTATGGGCAGTCCGGGTATCAAAACCCGGACGAGTGGGGTCGTCGACAAGGCGACGGACCGGGAGGCTTCAGGAAGTAATGCCACAGGCGGTTCCCTGGACCCTTTCAAATAAGGTCAGCGTGGGTCACTGGTGGAGTTTTAGTGGGTATGCCTAAAAATTTCCTTTTTCGGGTGAGTCCCACATAACCCGTGGTCCTCCCCCAAGAATCACGGGTATCTATAAAGGATTTCTCCACCTAAAAAAAAAAAGAAAAAAAAAGGTCTTAGGAATAGCATACAGCGCTTAGCCTTAGAATAACCTAAAATTTAATAAATACTTTATTTACATTTTAACCTTACAATTACCTTTTTTAGTAGATACATAGTGTAGTTGTAAGAACCGCAGCAGCTAAAGCCTGCAAAATAAATATTACATGTTGATAAAGTAGCATTAGAAATTTATGTTAATCATCATTAATCTTTTAGCCTAGGTTAACATGAGAAATGGTCAGAACGATGTATATATACTGACCAATAACTATTTAGTCACTTAATTTAAGATTAGCCATAAGATTTTAAATTAAGTGCTCATCCACTCAACTGCTACGCAGCAGTTGAGACACGGACCAAACCAACATGGCGGCAACTGACGACCGCCAGTACGAGTTCCACGATTGGCGGAGAGCTCTCAAGACGGTAATTGGCCACTGGACAGCCGGAAGGGAGACCAAGCCGACCGATGGGTATATAAACCCGTGCAAAAAGAAATCGTGAGTGCCAGTGCCATAGCCAGCCGAGCGAAGGGCTGCACTTAGTGAAGTGCCGGCAGTCCGGCCGAGCGAAACCTTTGTAATCGCGACTCGTAGTATAAGTACGCGAGCTTTGTGATAACCATAATGGCTAATTTATTATTTACTGTTTTGTGTTAATTTAAATGAACAATTATATTTTTATTTTTAACCAAAACGTGAACTTACAATTATTCAAATCCTTACCTGTACAGAATAAAACGTTGTCGATACTCACCGTGTCCGTTCGTTGTCCGGGTTGTTCCTCATCCGAGAGCGTGGTGAACCTGTGAATATAAAACCAAAAGGATTAGAACGAGATACATCGCAGCATCTCATCAGGCGTCTTCGTCCAACCCGAGGGAAGCGGCAGACAGTCGTAAGGGTCAAGGAAGGACAAGACGAGGATTCCAACCTTCTCACTTGGAGGTTAAAGCGAGTGGCGACCGCTGAAATGGCGAAAGTTGCCTGCGACTGGTGAGTCCCAGATAATTCACTTCCACGAGGCACGTCCGGTTACAACCTCACTCCGGTGTTCCCGGCGATCGACTCCCAGAATCTCTGTAAGAGAGACGATTCTCTCTCCGGACGCAGCATACCGGCAACCGTCTACGACGCATTCAGTTCAAATACACGCGGTATCATTCTTTACTATATATATTTCTCACCGACCGATTTAGGTTATTAGACTAGATTTAATTAGATTTATTTGTTTATTTCCAGAAAAGGCGCACTCTGGCTGAATACGATATTTACGCGCTTCCGTTGTTTGTTCATTTCCGATTATTGAATTATTTTCGTTTACGACAACACCGTTGCAATAATAAGTCACGGTAACAATTATTTATGTACTCATAGTTATTTTCTTTTATAATTATATTTTATCATCTTTAAATATTCTTTTGAATAAATTTATTGTATTTAATTATCATCTATTAATTTGGAGTCTCCTGACAACCAGCCGAACAAATCCTGACGAACCGTCGAGCTATTCTTCGCTTAGCAAAAATCCGCTTCGTTACGATCTTAATGTCTTAGAAATATTTTTTTCTAAAATAACATTATTATTATTTAATAACACAGATGCGTTTTCTTTAATATTATTTTTGTGATACGTAGAATTTGCATGTCTAGAAATGCTCGTGAGTAGTATAAGTGGGTTCTAACCCAGGAGCAATAAAGGGGGTGCGTGGGAAGAGGGGAATAGGGGGTATCAAATTACGCTGCGTCAGCACTTATGGAGGGAAGGGGGGTATTGGATTACACTGCGTAAACACTTTTGGAGGGGAGGGGAATATCGAATTTCGCTGCGTTAGCACTTTGAAGGGAGGGGGTATATCAGATTACAGCACTTTTGAAAGGAAGAGAGAGGTATCAGGTTATACACGTTCTCAATTGTAAAAGCGCAGCATCAGCACTTTTGCAATGTGGGTATCAGGTTACATAAAGTTATTGGGAGGGATGTCAGATTACAAGAGATTGGAGGGGACCACATATTTTACGGATAACGTCATCGTTTTTCTTAGAATCTGCAGGCCCAATTTTGCACCGTCAGCATTTTGAGCATCATTTTGCGTTGTTACAAGAATGATATCATCATTATTTTTAGCCCTTAGCAACAGCCGCGTCAGCAATTTGGACGCCATTGTTGCCAGATTTCTATATATTTAATCAGCACTTTTAATAGTGCCGTGTGCAAAAGCACATAGCAACAGGCAGCCACGTCAACATTTTGGGCGCCATTGTTACTAGATTTCAATGTTTTAATCAGCATTGTCAGTATTTTTTAAATTAGTGTCGTTGCAACAAGCGGATATAAAAAGCTCGTAAAAAGTGCGAATCCTCACAGTTATCCAAAATTATTTCGACAATCACTACTTCGCTGCAACTCTTCACCTGAATTATAGCAACGATGTTTTCTACCGTACAGCAAACAACCGTGAGTAATCTGACCAACAAACAACAAGGTGTGGAGACCTTCACGAAAAAGCGGAAATATTCGCCCAAGGAGTAAGTTGGCTCTCTTACTATTATTTACACTTTTAAACTTACCGCTAAGTTACATTTTGAACTCACACAACCTTTTTTTCACAGAAATAAAAGTAATTCGTCAAGCATCGATAGAAGCATGATCACGCCTCCCAAAATTTTGGCTAGAAGATATCCGTTGACAAAAACCGGCTACAAATATCTAGATATTGGAATCAACGTTTCAACGCCGAGTCACGTGGAAATCGCTCTCGGTGACAACCATGGCAAAGAGATGTATTTTACACACAACATGTGGAAGATTCTCCTGGATCAACGAGACGCCATCCATCATTTCTTTAACAATGGTGAAGACAAAGCACACACATCGTCTCAAACCATCGGACATGTCACACTATTGTTTGGAAAAATAAACAATCTAAAAGTACGTCGTCTGGAAACATTAACGGTGTGTTTAGCCATGTCGAGCAACAGTGTATGTAATATGATTGCTCTCGAGTATTGCGTGGATCGTATCACTCAGTCGTTGAACGTCACCGGTATGGTCGACGCCAAGTTCGCACGCTTTCGAAAAATCGCGAACGGTGTGAAGAATTCCATCGCGGTGATACGTGAAAGCGAATCGTTTGATAAGAACGTGTTAGATGGAAAGAGAGAATCAAAGCAAAATAGTTTATTTATTAAAAATTATAGGCGAATAGCAGTGAGGAAGGACAAGAAATAGACGAAAATTATCTCTAAATATTTATTAATGTAGTTATAAAACAGTGAATATCGTATAAAGTTATAAATGAAAGATATATAAACCAAACAAAAGAAAATAAATGTACTCTTAGCTAAAACAAAAATTAATTTAGGGTTAAATATATTTTAATTGACTTTTCACCTTCTGTCGCTACGTGTAATATTTTAGTTTGGAAGGCGCTGAGAGTCAGAGATAGATGGCGCGAAAAAACGTGCGAAGACTTTTTTACTTCTTGTTAGTGTGTATGTAAAAAAAAATAAGTGTGCAATTGAAAACCATGAGTTCTTTCTACATCATCAATTAGAGTAATCAAACGAAATCACAAACAAAAAATTGGTCCTTCGAGTCGGATTCAGCTGGTAAAAGGCTGAAATACGCAAAAAAAAAAACTAAGTGTGTGTGAGACGACTACCGCGTATAACAAACACGTGGAGGTTATAGCGCGAGTAGCAAACAAGAAATTCTGAGAGACATTCAAAAAGGGCATCGAAATCGAACAGAGTATAACAGCGAGCGGTGAAAACAGCTGTAGCAGTCTAACTAGAGGAATTCATACAGGAAAGCGTGAGGAAGGTCAAGAAAACGACAATCTAACCTCGATAGAGAGCGTGTATCGAGACATTGAATCCCATCGACAGCGAGCCTACAAGCAAAAATGACGGACAAGGAGAAGGAGTATGCAGAGCTCAAGAGAAAGCGTGCAATAATTAAGAGTCAGATAACTAAGTTTGATACATATATTCAAGGGTTTGTAGTTAGCAAAGAGAATCTAGCGCAACTTCGTATTAGGTTAGAAAAAATTGAGCAATTGTGGGACAACTATAATAATATTCAAGAACAAATCGAAGGTTTAGATAACTCGGAAGGTTATGCGCTTAGACAACAACAAGAACGAACAGATTTCGAAGAAAGTTATTTTGCAATAGTAGGCCATGCGCGTCTTATTTTAGAAGAAAATGCGAATCAGAGGATCAATGTAGAAGTAGAAAATGCGAATGTAGGCATAGCAAACGAAAACATAGCAGCAGCGGGCACGGCAGTTAGGTTGCCAGTGATGAGTCTTCCAACGTTTAATGGAACATACGAGTCAATGGCCCGTATTTTACGGTACCTTTTCCGCGTTAGTAGATAAAAATCAGAATTTATAACGAATGTGCATAAATTTTATTATCTACAATCTGCCTTAGACATAAATGCGAAAAGAATTATTGAATCTCTTGAAATAAATGAGGTAAACTATCCTAGAGCTTTAAATCTATTGAGAGAACGTTTTGATAATTCAAGGTTAGCGACTCGACATCATGCTCGAGCAATATTCAATTTAAAAACTATCGAAAAGGAATCTAGTAGTAAATTGCGTAACCTGACTGACTGCCTAAAGCAACATCTAGAAGCATTAAAAGCAATGAAGTACGAAACTGAATCCTGGTGTCCGCTAATCATTGAATGGATTCTAACTAGAGTAGATCCCGCGACAGCGCGTGAATGAGAAAAAAACTGTTCAAAGACAAGAGTACAAAACTAGGGAATTTATTGAGTTTTTAGAAGCAAAATGTAACATGTTGAAAAGCGTTAGCGCGTTCGACCATGCCCAGAGAGAAAGCGAGAAATGTAACAGAAAGGCTAAAGGCGTAGCTCACATTACAAACGAATCTAAATTAAATTGTCCTGTCTGCAAAAGGGAACACAAGGTTTACATGTGCGATACATTTAGGAATCTTTCCGTTCAAGCACGAATAGGAGAAGCTCGTAAATTAAAACTTTGCTTAAATTGCCTCAATACGAATCACTTCGCACGAGATTGCAGATCCAGCACATGTAAGCATTGTAGCAAAAAGCACCATTCATTGTTACATTATAATGATAGCAGCCATGAAAGTAAGAAGGAACTCGAAGGAAAGATTGAGCAAGACGCTAAGATAGATAAGCCCAAGGTAAATGCAAATTCAGTAGTGACGTGTGCTTCAAAATGTGCTCGTCGAGAAATTCTTTTGTTAACTGCGCAAGTAAACATTGTAGATAGAAATGGAAAAACGCATACGGCCCGAGCGTTATTAGATAATGCTGCGACGCTTAATTTTATAACGGCGAACTTGCTTAATAGACTAGGGTTGGAAACAGAAAGGGTAGGAGGTAGGGTAATAGGATTTCGAGGAAATACTACATCCACAGGCGAGATTGTGACCGCAACTATCGAATCAAAGCGAAACAAATATGCGGAATCTTTGAGATTTACGGTAATTGACCAAATAACGAGTAAACTTCCAGAGAATCGAATCGAGACATCACAACTGCAGCTGCCCGAACATGTTTCCTTCTCACCATTAGCCGATCCAACGTTCAACGTACCGCAAGATATAGAGTTATTGCTAGGAGCATCAGTATTCTGGAGCATTCTACTAAACGGAAGAATTCAACTCAGCGACAATCAGTCAGTATTTCAAAGAACAAAATTCGGATGGATTTTAGGAGAAAGATTTACGCCCGTGGGAATACCTACGAGAATTTGCTGTGTTATATC